TATACCCATATCATTTAGTTTCATTGACAGAGGATACCCAGAAGCATTGACAGATGCTTTTTAAACATTTTTAATTGTAGATGGACACAATATTTCATTTACTTATTTGTTTATTTTTATGTGGTGCTGAGGATTGAACCCAGTGCTTCACATGTGCTAGGCAAGCGCTCTACCACTGAACCACAACCCCAGCCCTAGTTTCATCATAGATCATTTTATCATATTTAAATAAATATAATGATAACAGATATTGATGGGTGTTTCTTTTATGCAAGGAAACATCTTTATAGTTTTCATTAGATCTAATCTTGTGTGTGCTTCTAAACAGAAATGAAGAAGTTTATTTTCCAGTTGTCTGTTTTTTCTTCCTTGGCATGATGAAAGGCTGTGTAAATCAAATAAGAATGTCGAATCACAGTATGGGAGAGATGAGAAGGATTCTCAAGGGAATCTAGTGAAAAGAAGACATGCTATGTAGCTCTTCCTGGCTTGCAGGGATTTATTCACTTAGAGCTGTGTGATTTTGTAGCACTTGCTTAACTTCCCTGAGCCTCTACTTCATCTCTGATGAGATGAACATGCACTTTGTACATACAACTGTGTTTAATGCTGTGTATGTGTGTGTGTGTGCGCGTGTGCACGCGCGCAGACACACACACACACACACACACACACACACACACACATCTTGATTCTGCCTTCTGCCTGATCCCCGCACCATCTGGCTCGGATATCCAGAGCAGGGACTGTGTGGGAGCCTCAGCAGGACTGTCTGAGCTTGCAGGGCCAGCTGCTGGGAACTGCTCCCTCCCACTCTTCAGGGATCATATCTCTGGCTCTGTTGGGATTGTTTCATGACTGCCTGTTTGGATCCCATGACCTTTCATGAATGGAACATTAAGTCTGTAGGGTCAGTCACTGCTAACCAAGTACAGTGATGCTGGCCATGAGGCTAGTGACGAAGATCATTTTTTGTCATGTGATGGAAGCTTCTGGGTATCCTCTGTTTGAGCCCCAGAAACATACTTGTGCAGGACACAGGTGGCTGCTTTCTTTTTTTCAGCTGTTTTCTACCCATGCTTCTTTGTGTTGAGTTAGAACAATAGGGAAGCCTATTGGAGGAAACAGAGAACCATCGCAGCCCTCTTTGATTTTTTTTAATGAAAATAAAAGTAGTTCTGTCTCTTCACTCTGTTTTTTGGATCCTCTTGCATAGGGCTTTAAAATTATTAGGACTTGCAGCTCTCCCAAGTTATATACTTTGTGTCTAAGGAAGTCTCATAATTCATGGGCTGTTTCTTGTTAGTTGTAAAGTATGATGCCTGGGGTCCTCTCCTTAGCTGTGGTGTTTCAGTGCTCCTCCCTCTTGTAGGCATGACTTCCGAGTTATCTTCAATCTTAATTTTGAGAATTCTGTTTGTGTTGTCATCTCTTTGGACTGATCTTATTGCTTCATTAGAAATATTGATAAATTAGCCTGCTATTTTTCTGTTTTTTTTTTCTTTTCATTTTTGTTATGTGTACTGGACCGGGAGCCAACTTTTCATGATTAGAAATGGAGGTGGCTCTGTTTTTTTTTTTTTTTTTTTTTTTTTTTGATAATGAAGATTCCCACATACTACACTTGTTGGTTGGATTTTTCTGACCTACCCCTTGTGTTTCTCCACTAGATAGTGACAGTTTTGAGGTTTCCTGCTTGGCATAGCCATAACTATCATTTATTATGCACATACTATATGCCAAGGACTGCTTATTTCAATTAATTCCCTTAAAAATAATATGTACATAAAGAATCTGTTTCATGGAGCTTAAACTGTCTGAAGTCATCTGATAGTAAGTCACAGAGCTTGATTTTTAAACTTAGTTTGACCTTACAGCTGCTTTTCTAAATCATCTTTCTAATTCCTTCTCAAAGGAAACAGTAGATACATATAAGGGACATGAAATATTGGCTGGAAAAGGATTGGATAATACTTCATAGTAGAAAACAGCTAAAGAGCTGCATTTCTTGAAGGAGAGAATAGAAGGACTGTGTGAGTGCAAAGCCCTTGCTTTTCCCACTCTATACCTTGACCTGCATCATTGGCAAGCTTGAGCACTTTGTAAAAGTTTGATGAATAAATGGCCTCTACCAGCCTCAAGGCAGAAGTCATCACTGTGGGAGGCTTTGTCCCATTGTGGTCTTCATTCCATGCTCTTTATTCAGGTCAGAGAGACCCTGAGATTTTGCGAAGATGTCTCTCACCAATCAGGCCATAGTTTGAGGTGATCGGTCAGAATCTAAAGACTAAAGTGTGGAGACATTCTGAGGGGTTGGAACTGTGTTGAGGTCAGTACTGGCTTGCAGGAGATGCTGGGCAGTCAGCCTTTGTGCTGTGGTGTAGGCCATTAGCTTGTGCCCACTGGCTTCTGCAAGAACAAGGATATATGTATGTATATATATGCTTTACTAACTTGAAGCTTTGCAGGTTGTGCCCAAAGAGCATTTCCTTTTAACATATTTGTAAACTATAAATTTAACTCCTACCAAGTGAGGAAGTAATTGCTTCACACAAGAAAGAAGTCAGCTCTTTAAAGAGCTTAAGTCCTTTAACAAATGTCTTTTTTTAATGACTGGGAAATTCCTAGTATAGGAAAAAAATGTCCTTTTGTACAAATGAGGTCATTCTGGTCTTAATTGGCCCTGTGCACTCTACTTTTTGCTTTCTGTTCCATGTTTTGTGACCAGAGGTTATTGGAAGGATAATCCCTCTGTGGATATTCACTGCTTTGGGGGCATGTTGCCAAAGGGAAAGTTATCTTAGCTTAGAAACTGCCAACCCAGTGCAAGAGCCCCAGATCCCAGGGGTGCTGAGCCAGTGACTGATGATGATTGGTTCAGGCTGGCCATGGTTTGGGTTGTTACAGCATACTTTTCATGTATACTACAACCACTGCATCTGCTTCATTCTCTTTAGATTGCTCAGCTGCTCCACTGATTCTTGGCTCAGGAATGATTATTCTTTCCTAGGTGCATTGCATTTACTCTGTTTTGATTCTAGCCTGATGAATAGAAACATCTGTATCCATTTGAGATAATCTTTTAACCCAGTGTAAATGGAAAATACCTGCTGAAAGAAGTTGCTCTGTACCTTTCCTTTGAACACTCAGATACTGATTTTTTCCCTAAAATTAATTTGTGAATTGGCTTGGCTAACATGAATATATTTGAGGCCTTAGATTCACACTGTGAAAGGGTCTTTCTATGTGATAGCGTAGAGTAGGTCTCAGTGGATGCCCCTGGTTTAATTTAAGCTCACTTTCTTCTGACTTTAAAATAATCATTTCCTGCCAAGAAGGAGGTTACAGGTTTGATGAGTGTTAGGGAGATTGTCACACCTATCTTGCATGTTTTATAAAGGGATGAACATGAAGAGGGTAGACATAGACCTCTGTAGTCTCTTTTGATTTATATCTTTAAGACAGCCACTTTGAAGGAGTAGGATTAGATATTGATATGTATTAATTCTTCTTAGGTGCCAACACCATGCTGGATGTCTTTACAGATTACCTTTTTTATAGGTACTAGGTTTGTATAGTTAATTAGCAGCAGTCCTTGAGATTACCAAGTTAGGGTTCTGCCTCATATCTCAAAGGTTTTGTGTTATATAATGGATCAATGTTTTGATAAGTTTTTGATAGCTTTTTTCTGTTTGAATGATTATAGGTTTTTATTATTTAAAAAGCTTACTCTCTTGATGCTGAGAATTTGACTCTTCTTAATATAACTTCTTAATAGAATCTATTTTCTGGGATATTTGAGTGCATTCATAGTTCCCTGAGTTTGAAACTCCAAGTTCAGGCCTGATAGCCTAAATAAGTCAGAAAATAACTTCTTTTTTTTTTTTTTTCAGTTTTTAACAATGAACTTTTATTGGCATAAAGTTGTACTTATTTGGATATTGTCTCTAGCTGCATACATGCTATAATGGCAAAATTCAGCACTTGTGACAGAGATTACATGGCCTTTAAAACCTTTCTGGCCTCTGTAGGCAAACCTTTACAGATTGCTGCTTTACGGATTCTGGAATCAGAAGCAAATAGTTCATCATCTAGCTTTTTAGTTAGATCACATTCCAGCCTTAGGTTCCCAAAAGCTTTTATCCTCAAATAATTATTTTTATTTTTATTTTTTCAGAAAATAACTTCTTGATCTAGAATTTAAAAATTCTATCTTGAGCTGTCCTGGGGAGGAGAGGATTATAAAATTCAGTCATGAGCTGCTTACATATTTGTTACAGACCCCATTTTTTTCCCATAGTAGTTGTGGCCCTTGTAGGGGCTCCAGAAAGAATCCTTGCTTGAAATCTCTTGGAACACTGAGGAAGTCAGGCTGACTGCTACTTGAAATGATGGCTGTGGGGCTCTGGACCACCTGCTTCCCATCCTTCTCTAGCCTTCCCATTAGTCTCCTCAAATGTACAACTAATGGGGAAAAAAGAAAGATCATCTAATTTTAAAAATATCTCTTGTTATATAGTGGGCTGCATAACTCAATTCATTACTGCTTGCTACACCATTCTTGAAAGTCTTGTTAAAGCATAAAATGTTAAGATGTTCCCTTTCATTTCAGTTGATCATTACCTCATGCAGATATACAAGCTGGGCAGGAAGAACTATGACCTAGATTTCTGTAGTATACCCTCCCACTTGTCCCAAGGTCTCCATTGATTGTAGGCAGCCAATGAATATTTCACTGAAATTCATTGATGGTTCAAAATAAAATTGAGGAAAAAAATAGAAAATATTATCATACTTGAAATTGGGAAATTTTGGGTAAATGCTGAATGCCTCATTAGTTTCTGCAGGGAAAATATATGGCCTAGTGCAAAATGTGTTCATATTATAAAGTGAAAACTTGTGAGATAAATTAAAAGCTGCATTCTTTGCTTAGAATGCTTAAAACGAGAATGACACTGATTTGCTGATAATGTATTTTTGTTGTTGTTGTTATCTTGTAGCCTCAGACGATACAGCAAACTCTCAAGAGGACATTGCAGTATTATGAACATCAAGTTATTGGGTGAGTAAAAATGGGTTTTGTTCATTAATGGGGACAAAATTAAAGGTGATTACTTACAAACAGGTGTTGAACATGTGGTCATTCTGTTATACATGTCAACCTTATCTCATAGCGGCTATGTTCTCAAAGTGTGTGTGGGGGGGGACTGACGAGGGTCCCTTGGAGTGATTTCCTTTGGTTTATTTGTATTTAATTCTTTTACATGAGGTTTCTTTTTTGTTATTGCTCTCCTTTCCTTTTTGTCCTGCTTGTGTTCTTACTCTCTCATTCCATGACTGAATCTCATAATTTGGCCTTCCTGCTGTGGTAAGATTTATTGATACCAACTAAGAGGCTTTGAATGTTAGAATCTTTAGGCAGAGTTTAATCAAAATACCTATTGATTTAGCTAGAGTAACTTGCTACATATTTTTCTGAATTATTCCCTATTTCTAAAATAGGATATGGTATAAAGATTTGATATCAAAAGGTAGGAATTCAATGTCTCTCTAGCACTTAGAACTTTTATCTCTTTTGTAAAATGTGATGATGGTGATAATAACTAAGTCAAAGATCAGATGTCATAATGAAATGATATAATTTCAATGAAAGTATTTTATGAACAGAAAACTCCAAATGAGAACCAGGTATACTTTTGATTTTGATTTGCTTGGCAAAAGGCAATTGCTTGACAAAAGCCTAAATTTACTTTCTTGTGCATTGTAGCTTTTAAAATTCATTGACATTAGAGGCAATGTACATTTTTAAATCACCTTGTTGGTATTCTTTATATGCTTACAATGATTTATCTTTGTAAGATTTTTAAGAACTTTTGAGAAGTCACAATTCAAAACCTGCTACTTATTAAAATATCAGGGATCATTTTACATTATGGCTAGTGGTCATTGCAATAGGGATTAGTACATATTTTTGGGTATTTTGTGGTAGTGTGATTTTTTTATTTTAACAAAACAGAAGGGAAGAAAAGGAACTAAAAATTAATCTCGGTACCTAGTACAGTACCATGTACTTTTAAGTGCTTGATGATTGCTAATTGTCATTTCGAAGGGAATTGCTTTGAAATTTTGTCATACTAATCCTCAAGAGTGCAGTACTAGGAAAAACATTATTTAAACTCATGAGATAGCTTTTAGTTTGAGGCCATTAGTGATTTCAAATGGTTTATCCTAATGGAGCTAAAGAATGTCAAATTAATCTTTCCCCACACATTCTAAAATAAAACTTAATCACTCTCATTGAGCTTGCTACTTTCAAAGTATGGTGTATGGATTAAATTAGTTTAGAACAGTTTCTTGTATGTGGCCATCACTACATGTTTGCTCTTATGTTTATTAATTGCTATTAATATTTTTATGATAATACCAATCATCAAACCCAAATTAGTTTCTAGAATTATGAATGTTCTCTCTGTTCTAAAACTAAATAACTGAGATGATATTCTCACTTTTGAACTCAACTAGGGCTTCAAGGCAAATTGGAATGGCACTCTTAAGATATGATCAAAATAGATAAGTATATTGCAATAATCAGCAGAACATTTTTTTTTTTTTTTTTTTTGCCATTAGTGGGATGATGCATTCTCTTTTACCTAACAGCCTCAGCTCTCCTCTCTAGACAGACATGGCCTGCGAGGTCCTTGTTCATTGCCTAACTGGTCTTTTCCTAGTTTGTTTATTACAGATGTAACATAAAGAATAAAGAGAATTTGTTAGAGGTCGGTTCTGATGTCCAACTTGATCCAAATAGAGCTATTGGCTACTTTTGTTGGGTGTGGCTGACTCTTGGATGTGAAGCACCTTTGCTCTCTCTTTGCCTCATGTCATGGGCACAGACAGGGCTGGCTGGCAGCAGTTTGTCACACTTGCCTTTCTTAACGTTGTCTTCCCTTCTTCACTTTTCCTCATCTTATGGCTTCAGGTCCCAATTCCCTCTTTTGCCTTTTAGACTCCATCTTTCTGTTTTCTATTGCTCTCTTCAAAACTGCAAAAAGAGAACAGCTAATATCACTAACACTTGGACTAAAATGTGTTCACACCTATGTGTTGTTTCTCTTAAGAAAACACAATTTAAGGCTTTTTATCTCTAACTGTGAAAAGGAATGTGTTTCTTACAGTTAAGGGGATTTCAGGCAATGGAGAATAAGTAATGGCAAGCATTATTTTACATATCTGGGGGGAGGTGGGAGAGAGAAGGAGATACTTTTTTTTATTTTCTGAAATGGGGATTTCCTAAGGCTTATCTTGAAGTAACTCAGCTTAGGTGCCTTGAATTGTGGTGCTGAATCAGGGTGGATGAGAGGGTAGGGGTTAGCCCTTCTCTTTTTAAGTTCTTAATTTACCCTCCAACCACTGACCTTCCCATCCTCCCTTTCCTCTTCTCAAAACTCTGCCTTAGAGCTGCTTTATTTATCAGAGCTCTGGGATAGTGTATCATGCTCCTTGAATTCTTATGCTGGTTGCCCATAGAAACTCTGTGAGGCTTTTTTCGTCTCCCAAGACCTAGACTTGAATTCAGGGAGCAGCTGTTCAAAGGATCACAGATGGAGGATTGGGAGGGAGTAGATGAGGGAACGTTTTCTTGGGGAGTAAGATAACCTTTCTGTGCCAGCCACTATATCTTTAAACATTTATCCTACTCCTTAATCTATCCATTCACTCATTCATTTATTTATTCATAGAAATCACTTACATTGGGAAAAAGAGTGCTAAAATAATTTATTCATGCTGTGTGATAAATCTTCCTTTCATCTCTACTGCCATCATCATCTCTCACTGAGGGATTCTGATCTAGTTTTCTGGCTTCTACTGTCCCTTAATACTGGGTTATCACTACACCAAAGTAATTAAAAAATGAGATCATGCTACTTTCTTATTTGAAACCAATAGTTCTCAAATATTAATGTGCATCAGTGGCCCCTTGAAGTCTTTTTAAAATGAAGTTTTCTGGACCTATTGTATTTGGGCTTTTCAGAGAAATAAAACCAATAGAACTTGTGTGTGTGTGTGTGTGTGTGTGTGATCAGAGGCTGAATAGTCTCCCAATGGCCATCTGTAGGCTAAGGCACTGAGGAAACAAGTAGCTGTTTGGTCCAAGAAGCTGGAAGCTTCAGAACAAGAGGGACCAATGATGCAGCCCCAGTTTGTGACTGAAGGCCTAGAAGCTCCACAGAGAGTTGCTGGTGCAAGTTTGGGTGTGAAGGCTGAAGAACCTGGAGCTTAATGTCCATGGGAAACAGTAAAAATCTCAGTGGTTTAAGAAGAGTTGATCATGCAGGTGTGTTTTAGCTTCCTTATTTTTCCACTTTTTGTTCCATCTGGGCCCCCAGCCATTGGGTGGTGCTGCCCATGCAGTTGGCCGACCCACATGACAATCATTTCTGGAAACACCCTCACAGACACACCCAGGAGTGTGCCAGACTAAATTTTCCAAGCATCTCTCAATAGTGAGGTTGACAGCAAAGATTAACCACCACATTTACCCCCAGAGTTTCTAATTTTGTATATCTGGGGAGGTATCAAGTTCCAGGTAATACTGATGTTGCTGGTCCAGAGATCACACTTCAAAACACCTACTATAAACCATATAATGGTTTATATTGATAGGGTATAGTCTGATTCTTTCTGTAATCTGATCTATACTTATGCTTCTAATTTTTTGTTTTATCACTCTATCCCTCTTTTCATTGCATTTCAACTCTTGGTTCCTCAGCTGTACCAAACTTAGCCTCAAGGGCTCTGTATGTAATGCTCCATTTTCTTGGAATGCTCTGTACCCAGATGTTTACATGGTTTATTTCTTTTGTGCATTCAGGTCTCTGATCAAAGGCCATCTATTAAGACAGACCTGTCCTGAGCACCCAAGGAAAAGGAGTCCTCCAACCCCACCTGCAGTCATTTTCTCTTATACTACCCTTTATGATTTCATTTCATTGGGCTTATCATTAGCTGATATTATCTTGTTCATTGTCTCATTTTCCGTGTTACTTTTACATAAGTGCTTGGCATGTAGGATGAATCAAGATCTTTCTTGGAGGGAGGGAATGAATAAATGAATAAATTGCATGCTAGAGGTATGTATACATAGGTTTTTAGGAGCATAGTGAATAAGAGAGTCGATTATGCATGGGAAGTATGTGCAAAATGAGGGGTTAAAATAATCTCCAGTGTATATTATGGTTGTAAATTTTATAGTTTTAGTATCCTGGGCCTTTTGCTTCATGACATAAATTATACTGATTCATATACATATATTCTCATTTATACTTAATATTCTGCCCTGTGTATCTGATTGACTTTGTGGAAACTCTGATTACTCTATGAACTCTACACATTGGTGTTAACAAGAGCTTCTTGTTTGTGTAGCAATCTTCTTCCTTCAATATAAAATCAGAGATGGGTGGTGAATGTCTTTAACTCTGTTTCTACAGAATGGATAAGCTGTTGGGGCTATGTAGGATAGAGAGCACAGTGAGAAGTAGAAGGGATCAGTAGGAGACAGGGATTCAGTTTAGGAATTAAGAGGAACTCAGGATTGAGGAATATCTGTTTATGATGACATTTCTTTTTAATGTCTTTATTGCCATTTTCTTCTGCTTTTTCTTCTCTCTGTGGGTCTTTGTTCCATCTGGGCCCCCAGCCATTGGGTGGTGCTGCCCATGCAGGCTTTCCCCATGCAGTTGGCTGACCCACATGACAATCATTTCTGGAAACAAAGGGAGCAATTGTGCTTTGGAGGTAGATGGATAAGACTTCCTGGACGTAAAGTCATGTTCTACTATTGAATAATCTTTAGAAAATTACTTGAAATCCCTGAGCCTTTGTTTTCTCATTGAAAAGTGTGAATGACAATGGGATTAGGGTGAAGTTTAAATGGAATCTGAATGTTAATAATATGTGAAATCATATAATCAGGTAGTTACTACAGTGCCCAGGAAGCAAAGCTCACCAAAGCATCCACTGAGTTATTCTTACCTCTATTATCATCTAACTCCTTTTTTCTTTTGTATTTTAGTTTTTATTCATTGTCTTTCACTTTATCCTCTTGCTGTCCTTTCCCATCCTCCTTAGACCTTTCAAGGTTAGGAATCCATTGATTAGCATTAGGAAGTAGACATGCCCAGTTCATGTTCCAGCTGTGGTTTTCTTCATAAAAATTCTTTTGGCTTTAGATTTTTTGACCTAATTTTTCTGTCTCTCGAGTGCCTGACCCACCTTCTCTAACTCATGTTTATACTGTATGACTCCCATTGGTCTGAGCCCAGACAGTGGGTTATGTGGCAGTGTCGACAAAGCAGAGATTTCTTTAGAAAAACTATCATGGAAAACAAATGATAGTCAATATTCCTGAGATCTGTGGTTCATCCATTCTGCATTTTAAACAATAAAGCTCAGAAGAATATGTATTCAGAATCATGACCTTCATGTTACAAGTTTTGCACATACACATCGTTAATATCACCATCAGGACTGTGGCCAGCCTCGTATTAGGCTGGTGACACCATTTCCTATAGTCATCTAAAATTAATCTCTACTACTCTTATTATCACTGTGGGCCCTATGTTTGTTTTACACAGCTAACCTTCTGTTCTGTTTTTCTTTTGACAATTGAAAGGAGATTAAGCCAGAATAATTTCAGTAGAGCATTAGAAGTAAGAGTAGGTGAGCCCTGATTATTCTGGGAAACAAATTTCAAATATATTTCTTATGCTTTTATGGTCAGATTTTGTGATTATAAATTATCGTATCTAAGATATGATCTAATTGATTATATATATATATATATATATATATATATATATATATATATATATATTTACAAAGAATAACTATATCTTTTTGAATAAAAATGGCAAGTTAGGCAAAAGCTACCATCTCTTGCTATGTTTGAGGCAACATGCTGAGTACTTTACATCTGCTATTTAATCCTAACCACATTATTTCACAGACTCAATGAAAAAACATTTTGCCTAAAGTCACTCTAAATAAAAATGATGGAACTTGATTTAAAAATAACGATGTAGCTGTGTTTAATGTCTGTGTTCCCTATTCCACCTCTCATTGAGTTTCTCCTGTATTCTAGAAACGGTACTAAGCATTTTGCCTAACTGACTGGTTTATTGGAGTCTCATCTCAGTGGGTGGCGGTTATGACATGAAGCCATTTTAAAAATTTTTTCCTACAATCACTTCAAAACTTCAAGCATGCTAAAATGAATCCCTTTTGATCCTTGCTTGGACAGATTGCTTTGTTTTCTAAGTAATTTTTAAGGATTGTAAAGTCCATGGTGGGCCAGTTTGAATCTCCAGTCTCTTTTCTCCCTTCCCCTGCCTTGGCCAGGCGTTGGCCTGAGGAATTTGGGGTACAGTGCAGAGAGTGTCTGATGTGGGCATTCACTTCTCCTCTCAATGCCACTTCTTTCTGATGTGTTATGTCAGGCATTAGTGAAATGGAAAGTGGCAGAAGCCTCAGTGAATTCACTAATGGTCATAACAATTATGTCCTGGCTGTGAAGCCCTCAGTGAAGTATATGTGTGGGCTCCGTCCCTCCCAGCTGCTTCAGATACCCTCTCAGGACTGCACTCCATAGTCTTGCTAGTGGGATCCCACCCCTGGCCTAGGAAAGCAGCAGGAGGACTGGACCACTCAGCTCTCCTCTCTTCAGTGGCATCTCCCTAACTTACAGGAACCTCCTGTTTTACTTTTTTACCTTGCAAAATGGTGGGCCTGTAAGTTGCTCCCAAATTTGTTTTATTTGTTTTACTTGCCAATAAGTCTCTCCAGAATCTTTCTCCTCTACCCAATCAGGCATGGAAGGATGATCAGGAAATCCTCTGTCTTAGCAGATGTTCAGTGGGGAATGAGACACCTACCCTCTGCTCTCTACCCGGGAGACTGCTCTCCTCAACTGGGCTTCTGCAGGGGACACGTCTGTTCTCTCCTTGTCTCAGAGGGGAGGGGAAAATGTGCAACCACATGCTCTCCTTGACCTAGCAACTCTTATGATTGTGGTGGTGGTGGTTTCTTTCTATTCCTTTTCTATTGTGAGTCGGTGGTAGGGTCACAGTGGCAGTGGCTATTCATCCATCTCTTAAATCTTGAAGGAGAGTTCCAGTCTTCTTGGTTACATTTTTGGGAATGTGAGAACATTTGGCCTCCACTGGCCTCAGCTTTGAGGCTTTAACTCTCATTTAGAGGCCACTGGATGAGTCCCAGCCAACATAAAGTTGCACTGGCATCATGTTATTTAGTCTTAATGGAAACTCTATGGGTACTTTCATTATTAAAGGGAGCAAAGTTACACTAGTAGGGATTAGTCTATTGCTCAATGTCTTTATGTCTTGCTCAGAAATAAAATGGTAAGACCATGACTCAAATTCTGCCAGCTCTGAATGCTAGGTTTATTCATTTGTTTTTTTATCCATACACCATACTGCTCTCTTCTCCACTGCGATGGAGGTTACAGTGTGTGTACTTTCAAAACAGCAGAGTGCCAAAGTATCAAATTAGTACTCTTAATGTTTCTTTTTCTAGGCATCTTCCTTATGGGAATATTATCAACAGCAAAATAGTACTCATAAAAGAATATAATAGCTATACAAAAGCTGATAAATATTTGGTTTTCCTCATCTATTTTTTTCACTATCAGCGTTCTTGATTGCCTTCAGTTCTAAGTCAACACTACTAACAGTGATGGAGATGATGAGTTATGCCAGAATTATGTACAATTGTTCAGTTATTTTAAAATGTGATTAACCCTGAAGTGTAGACTGCATGTTTACATGTGTATAGATGAGTACATTTGCAGATTCTTTCAAAAATTTCTCTGTATGCTAATATTATTTTCTTCTTAGTTATAGGGATGCAGAAAAGAATTTCCACAATATCTCTAACAGATGCTCCTATGCAGACCATTCCAACAAAGAAGAAATTGAAGATGTCTCAGGAATTCTTCAGTGTACTGCTAATGTACTCGGTATATTAACTCACTATTTTATATTGTTGAGAGAGAATAAAAGAAGGGAGGGGGAAAGTACAGGTTTAAATGTTTCATTTTCTGTTTAAGAAAGATTTGGAGAAAATGAGAAATTGAGACCAAAACCTTGTCTTCAAGTGATTTAATCTTAACATCCTTGAAGATATTTGAGCAGAAATTATATGCATGTCATTTACTTGCAGACTGAAAAACATTATAAAAAATACTTAATATTACAGGGAAACTTTTCCAAATATTCATATGTTAGTAGTATTAGCTTTATGTAATCTGTATATTCTGGTCATTAGTCTTGGCTGAAATGTAGGATCATTTTTTTTCCTATTAAAGTTATACTTTGTTATTTCTGGGAGGCTGGAGGTTGGTTGGGGCTGGAGGGTTGTGGCTGGAAGGGTCACTCACATGCACTCATGATGGACTCTGCAACTCAGAGGTCACTTCTGTGACTGAATCAATGAAGCACATCATCTACTGAGGTGTCCTGCTTGGGGCTTGGTAAATATGCATCTTGAAGATGCCAGTATTTATCTTCTGGTTTTTGGATGCTTCTAACATGGGTAAAAGTATTGTTAGAAACTGCACTGGATTCTATAGCCTTAAGGTACTGTAACTGGGCTATATTGCTTGTAGGTCTTGGTGTGTATATCATGCAAGGTAGACACCATAGCAGGAATACTGTTTTCACTAATGTCTTACAGATTTTTTTCAATGGAACGTACCTCTTTCACTTCTTTTTACAATCCTCCTTTTTGCTTATGACTCATATAGGTATCTATGGGAGGTACTGGTGGTGGTAGGGGACCACAAATCCAAGTGACTGGCTCCATGTAGAAAGTAGAATCACTTCTCTTTCAGAATTAGGTGATGGAGATTGGAGAAAACTTGTTTGCCTATATTTCTTTTCCTTTATGGAAAGTACTTTACCTAGAGATATCTAAGTTCCTCTCACAAAGAAATTTGGGGTGACTTTAACCCCAGAGTCACCAAATCTTTCTAAACTTGTCTGATTCCCAGAAGAGAGTTCTTTGACCCTCAAGCTGGATCTCCAACTATAAATGACTTTTTTTCATCCTAAATTATTTTGTAGTGAAAAATATTTTAATAATAAAATGGATCTTTTGTGAGGGGAGGCATAAAGATAGATATAAGTGGTTTGCTATAATAGGTTGCAAAACAGTGATGGATAACCAAAAGAAGGTTGAAGTTCATTTACCTCAATTTTAGAAAAACTTCAGGGGCTATGGTACTGACGAGGTAAATCTTATTACTGGAGAAGATAAATGAAGAAAATAAAGAGGGCTAGGGCTGCACAGCAGTTTTAAGTTTTCTGGTTTTGCATTTTTTGAGGTAACATGTATTTGTCTTGACCCATGGTGATTTTCAAAGAGTACAGCAAGATGACGTCTGGCTAAAAATCTCTGGAGAGGGATGTTTAATAATTTGAAAAGTTGCTCCTTATCCAGTTTCTAAATGTTTCCTAACCTTCACGTCTTCTTTCCTTATGCTCTCCACCTTGACAATCACTGAGTTAGAGGGAGTGGGAGGTGTTAAGAGATAATGCATGTGTAGGGAGTGCTAAAGACATCTGAGCTGGGAGTTGTAAATGAGCATGTAGGATTCTTGCAGAGAAGAAACCCCAGGTCAGACAGTTTCTCAAGGAAACCATCAGGGGACACTGTTGGCCCAGCACAGCTTAGTTGCCCTTCAAAAGCTGCCATGAGATGCCAAGTAGTGAGAAAAAAGAGCAGCAGGCAGTGATATTAGAGAAAACTGGTAATACTAGGAAAGGAGTCATTTTAAGTACTTATAATTTAGAAGGTGACTGTATAATAGGGATTAGATTTCCATAAATATTTCTTTTCCTACGAAAGAGATATTATGTCTGATATTTTTCCTCCTCCAAGTAATGATGGGTTGGTCTCATGATTTAAAGTGCAATCTTATAAAATTTTAATCTCTGAAAAAAAACCCTAAATGCCTGCAACTTGTTGACCAGCTGCTGGCATAAATCCAACAGATGATTATATGCCTAAGAGCTGTTCGCTTTTGAATAATGTCCTTTCATAACTCTTGAAATATAGACTTTCTCAGGGCAAAGATAACAACTTTACCCATCATATTCAATGAAAGCTTTGTTTTTAACAAGTCACTGAACTATGATTAATCTTGTCTTGCTAAGATTTCATCTGTTTAAAAAATTACATTTAAATTCTCTTATGCAAGCATTTATGAGAATGAAAGAATTGGTTAACATACTGGACACACACACACACACACACACATGCACCATATAAGAAAAGGAGTGTGTTTGGGGGAAGATGGGAAATGGCATGGAGAAATAAGATTTCATCCAGGTTAAGAAAAATACTGATGTCTGGGAACCTTCTCTGAATGCCCCAATGGTTCAACTCTATGATTTATGTACATCACCTTTGGGAAGTGTATCTAGAATACTGATGGATTCAGAATAATAACTACCTATTTCTTTTACGTTCTTATCCTGTTATAGGATTGTAATAGAGACTGGAAATGGGTTTGTTTATTCCTTATCTGTTGTTACTTATACATAACCCACTTTCATAGAAGACTTGAAGTCATATGTCAGATATATGGTCACACAGCAAATTTTTCTCTTTCCAAAATGACCACCTCTATCTGCTTAGTATACACTCTTATAGATAATTTGGCTATTTACTGGAGCATCTGCTTGAAGTTTCAGGTTAGGGGATGACATGAAATGAAATAGGGGACCTGAAGAGAGGGAGACAGTGATTTGAAGACCAGCAATTCTTCCATTATGCATTTGTTCTCTCTGGTACCTCGAACAGAACACCCTAGATACATGCTACTTAAGAGTGGTTCGTGCCCCTCTAGTAATGGTAAGGGACTGTTTCCTGATATCAAAAAAGTATTTTTTTCCATTTATTATTTTTTTGTTGACTTAGAAACCAGTTGTGTCTACTTTCTCTGTCTCATGATTTACTAATGAGGAATATTAAGTACTGTTAACTCCTTGCTTTTTATTCACCTCACTTTGGTGCCCTGGTAATCACTGTGTTGATGCAGCAGAGTACTCTCTAAAGAGGCCCTTAAACTCTGGGAAAAGATTATGTAAAGAAAGATAGTTGTGATCAATGCCTTCCTTACTGGAGGCTTTTAGTGTTAAATTTACTGCATTATTTGGTATATAATGTCTTTCGCATACTGAAATGGTCTAATTTTAGTTGTTTGAAAAATATAAACCTTTTTTTACCATAATCTGAAAAAAACCTAATTTTAGGTTGAACTAAATAGCAAAAATGTGTTTAAACTCCTATAAATCATGACATTTAATATTTTCTTGGAAATCGTAATGGTTGAATTGTATGATGAAGCATATACTAAAGGGTCTATGCTGTGTTTGCTGCTGAAATGTTGTCACTTGACCCCTTGGCTTGGATTTAGATAGTGTACTAAGGTTGGGAGCAGAAAATGAGTAGAGAGAGATAAGGGAGAGAGATGACAAACCACATCATCCCCTCTGCCATAATGAGTTAAATATAAATGCAGTTATGACGGTTTCAGTTTTAACAAGTTTTAAAGCTATTAAGGGGGTGGTGGGCGCTTTAGCTGTAGAGCTGAAAAGAGCTAATGGATGGAGAAGTGGTGTCTGAAAAAGATGTTCCACAGAAGGTCAGAGATCAAATAAATGACAGCTCTAGGTTAATTCATTTACTGATGAATTATAGCAAACTATGGTCTGCTATTTTAGTAAGCATCAGTTATTTGCTAAGGGTTGCCTAAAACAGTTTTATACTGCCCGTGCTAAATGCATTTTCTCTCAAAATAATCAGGAAGGACATGAGTTGTGAAAGGACATTCATTAACATTTTCTCTGTTTTAAAGGTCTCTGTCAGAGTGGTGTTTTATCTTCTTCAAAAAGTTAACACATTTAAAATCAGAATGAGAGGAATGCTATCATGGGATTATTTTGTTTGGAAAGTGCTAGTCAGAAGGATGGAGGAGTTGACTTCTGGGGCTTGTTTCTCATCGTGTTTTCCTAGTATCAGAGATTCTGAAATACTGTGAAATCGGAGCCCTTTATGAAGTGTCACAGATTCCAGAATCTTCAGCTGCCATGGAGCTTTATGTGTTGTCGATTGTTTTTAATAAATAATGATTTTTTTACATGCCAATGTGTATGTACTTTTTCGTTTTATTGTGCTATGAAATGTGCATTTAGAAGTCTTTTAATTGGTAATAAAACTGTGATGAATTATCCTTATATTAAACCCACTTCCTCGAGGGTTTTCTTGAAATAAACTCTTAAGTCATGTAATTGTTTAGTGGTTTAGAATGTGTATAACATATTTAACATCTTGGAGAGCTAGTTGGTGGAATAACCACTTACACTTTTTATTATTGATGGATTAAGATTGATAGGAATAAATAAATTTTGCCAATATAGTTCTTGTTACTATAAAGTTGGTAACTGATCAGTTTTTATTTCATTAAAAGTAATTGTTTTCAGTATTTTAATAAGAATGAATTGGAATTAAGGCCATTACAGGGGAAATAAATTGATAATATTATAATAATACAGTGATTTGAAGCAAAGACTAGAGCCCAAATACTGGGATTGAAAACACAGTCCAGCTAATCACTAACTGTATGTACTGAGTGATTTTTAATCTTTCCATAGCTCATATTTCTCATATGTAAAAGGGATATAATTATATATTCTCTCAGAGTAGGTAGGAAGATCAAGTAAGTTAACTTATATAAAGTTCTTGGATCAGCCAAATATGGAACAACCATAAATGTTTGCTCTTATTATTACTGAATATTCACAAAATATAGTTTGCATCAGACCTGGGAGGTCAATATTGTTCATTTTTAAAGCAATAAAACTGATATTTGCAAGCTTAACTCATTGTTATCTTCTATGGTTGGAGTTAATAAGCCATAGAGGGAGAATTTAAGTCTAGTTCAGTCTAATTCCA